ATAAATTTATGCAAAATTTTATTAATTTAAGTGTATTTGTGATATTAGATAAACTTGTTTCCCATATATGGAATTTCATATGTTTTAAATGAATTTTTGTGAAGTTGTACCTAAAAAACTAAATTTTGGATACTTATGACGACCACTGTAGGACATAACTAGGACGGAATTTTTTATTGGGACGCGAGCAAACCGATTTTAACAGCATTTCCGGATGCAATTACGTATATAGCATGTACCAGATAGTATGCATATAGTGTTTCCATCGCCAGTTAGAATTTTACCGGGGCCAACGAGGGACAGTGAATCTTCACATATATGCTTGAAGCTGAAAAAAATCAAGAGGTAATAATGTATAATAGATACTCTAGGATAATGAGATTCTTTTACGTCCTCTTGGACATGTGAAAAGGCTATCAAAATTTATGTTAAACAAAGTATACAAGGTTTCTTAAAACCTGTATAAAAAATAACACTAACAATGATATAAATCTACAATTTAAAAAATTTGTGATACTTGAAGGTGCTGTCATTCATAAAGCGATTAGTGTCTTCTTGAAGGTCAATCCATAACTCATTATTAGACCGATGCCTAATAAAGTGACTCGGAAAATTGACACTCTGGAAGCGTACACCAGCTTTATCTAAATTGTTTTTGTCAAGATATTTGAATTAATATATAATACCAAACAAAAGAATAATGTAATAATACCTGATATAATATTAAAAGTGGCATCTGCTCGGAATAAAATTGTGTTATCATTCGGATGGAGTTTGATACGAGAATTTTGATGTCTGAGATAATAACCTGGATAGTCGATACTTTCAAAGCTGATACCTGAGCCATGCAAACCGGGGACTAACTTAAATATGAAGTTGCTGACAGGATCTGATTGGTCTAATTGACGGATAAGTCCAAGGAAATCTTGGTGCGAAACATAGTATTCTACGTTATTTGAACTTTCAATAGCTCCTATTTCTGGCGGTTTCTGATATTTGAAGAGATACATAAAATTAATGAAAATAATAGTGGTAATAATTGTTATAATACTAGAAAGAAAATTATTTTACAATTTTTGTAGCTGTAGATTCCATTTTGGTTACAAGTACGTAATGATACGTAGATATTGATATGACACAAATAAGTACCCTAGCCATGGCAAAATACATGTAAAAGGGTCGGGTCATGTGTTGATTGTGGCACAAACCAATAAAAATGCGTAAATTTTTGCTCAGCCCGGCAAAACAAATCCGGCGCAAGAAAATGAAAAAAGTAAAAAATACGGGAAATAGATGCCTAATTCAGCTTGGTACACAAAAAAAAAAGAGTTTGGAAGACAATTCTACATATAATCTTGACTCCAGCTCTAACCTTAAATTAACCTTTAACAATAACACAAATCACCCGCACATATATATAAAATTGGTATTTATCAATTTTCTTATTTGGTTTACATTACAGGCACAAAACAAGTATATACCAAATTCATAAAATGCGCAGGTTATGGTCACATACAGTAACCGTTATAAGTATCCGACCGCCTCTAATTTTTCATAGATCATATGTAATGTACCAAAATTTTTCACGTATAAAGAACTACGTATATAAATATTGATAATTTATGCCTTTTATAGGCCGGGTAAACTTTTATATTAGGGAATTA